AGCACTACTTGGGAAACTCAGGAAAACCATGGGTTTAGTGGGGAGGAGATGAGAAGCCTTATGACAGAGATCCTCATCACATCACCCATGCTTCTCTCTGTGAGAGAATTGCCGAGCAGTTCTCAATGGTGTGTTGCCTTTGGCATTCCATCAAAATGACATTAGCAAAAATGTACAAGTCATTTACTATGGAGGAGTAGGAACCCAGAGAAGTTAAACAAATTATTCCAGGAAGTATAACCGGTTGGTGGCAGAGCCAAGACTGAAAGCCAGGTCTCAGGGCTTTTGGTTCCCGGTTGACCACGACACCACATTGCTGAGTATTTACTGCCTGCCTCTTGTTGCCTTGAGGTCATTTTGCTTTAGGAGCCGAGTTTTTATACCACGAGATGACAGGCCTATTTTGGTAGAAGGGGGAAGGGGAGGACAAAAGAACATGCAACAAAAGTAATATTTCTTGTATCAGCCTTCAGAGCTAGGTAGAGAGGGCCAGATAATAAACAACATAAAGACCAAGGATAAGAGAAATATCTAAAACTCATTTCTATCCTCATCTACACAAGACTGGCCTCTGTGACTACACATGTAGCCGCCATCTGCGCCGCCTTGCTTCCTCTGGGTAGTTCTACCCTGCGATTCTTCCTCCTGAAGGAAAAGTGCAAGTTACACAGCGCAGTGGCAATGAATGCAATTTTGAACGATGTGAATTTGAAAGAGTGGGACCTAAAAATATTAGCAAAGTCTCAATAGGCTATGCACATTTGGAAAAAACTCAGTAACTCTCCACATTAAAAAAAGTGTAAATAATTTACACAATTTCAGAGCAGGGGACCCATCAGAATTGTCTGCTGTGTTCACACTGTAAATGTGAAACAAACTCAATAATTCTCCAAATTAAAAAAAGTGTAAATAATTTACAGTTTCAAAGTAGGGCCCCCATTGGAATTGTCTGCTGTGTTCATGCAGTTGCCAGATGACAGTGCCGCTTCAGCTGGTGAATGGAAACATGCGGCTTCCATTGTTGGTGGCTGTGGATCACTCTCATGTTGACATGCACCAGAGTTTCTGCAAGGGATTTTGGTTATTTTTGTACTGTTATTTTAATATTCATTGCTACTTAAAAATTAAAACTTTTGAATCACGTATCCTCTAAGTTGTCATTAAGCCATATTGCCTGGACTTGTGCTGAAAAATCAGTCACTTTGTGGTGGAGGTTATGTAAATTTGAGTGCCCAAAGGGAAACTTAGAGAAAACATTGAGAAAAGAAAAAAAGAAATATTAAAAAGCAAACATGTTACGTGTTTGTGGATTAAATACATTTTGAGGCCCGGCGTGGTGGCTTATGCCTGTAATCTCAGCACTTTGGGAGGCTGAGGTGGGCCGATCACTTGAGGTCAGGAGTTCCAGACCAGCCTGCACAACATGATGAAACCTCATGTCTACTAAAAATACAAAAATTAGCTGGGTGTGGTGGTGGGTGCCTGTAATCCCAGCTTCTCGGGAGGCTGAGGCAGGAGAATCATTTGAACCTGGGAGGCAGAGGTTGCAGTGAGCCAAGATCATGCCATTGCACTCCTGCTTAGGCGACAGAGCGAGACTCCATCTCAAAAATAATAAATAAATAAATAAACTAATTGATTAAATACATTTTGAGATTGTAGTCCCTCCACAATTGTTTTACCTTTAGAAAAATTAATTTTCTATTATGAAAATTTTAAGTTCTATGGGGGTCTTGAGGAAGGCATCCTTGACCCAAATAAGAATATGGTATACCCAAGTGTTACAGGTGAATTGTGGCTCCCCAAACGATGTTGGAGTCCTCACCCCTGGGACCTGTGAATGGGACCTTTTTGGAAATAAGGCCTTTGCTGATGATTAAATTCGAATGAGGCCATTACACTGACCCTCATCCAATATAACTGATTTCCTTACCTAAAAGGAAAATTTGGACACAGAAACAGACATGCACAGAGGGAGACAATGTGAAGACAGGGAGAGCATCATCTACAAGTCAAGGAATGCTTGAGGCTACCAGAATCTCCAGGAGGGGGCATGGAACAGATTGTCCCTCAGAGCCCTCAGAATGAATCCACTCTGTTGAGACCTAATGATTGCAGACTTCTAGCTTCCAAGCCCTGGGAGAAAATACATTCCTGTTTGAGCCACCCAGTTTGTCATACTTCGTTATGGGAGCCCTAGCCGACTAATACACTAAATGGCTGACCTGAGTTAAAATAATGTATTTTTAGGAGGGTACAAAGGTTGTGGTCCCAATGTTTTGGCCAACCGCAGAACCCAAGGAATGTCCCTTAGAAGGAGGGAATGCCCACCCTAGTTGCTACCAGTCCAGGGGAAAGCCTTGCTTTCTCAGCCATTTATGTGCATGTGTGATTAGTTCATCAGATGCATTTCTAAGAGATTGGCTTATGTCAAGGTGATGAGTGACTACTTTGACTGGAGTGATGAAATTGCAGGGAAAGTGGAAGCATTGCCCAGCTGACCAGGCAGACATACTACCCAGGATCTGCTTACCACTACAATAGCATGAAGGGAAATTGATGGACCAATCAAGAGGGCTGAAGTTTGTCTAAGGACGTTATACACAAGGTCACAAGGTTTTCAACCAGTTTTTTTTTTTTTTTTTTTTTTTGCTATGGGCTAGGTCTGTGCAGGTAACAGAAGGGTATGGCTGCATGGAGAGGTCAGGAAAGGAGTTGGGGAGCTGAAGGGAGGATCCGGGTGCTGAGATAAGGGGACAGAGCTGAGGGTTGAAGGGAAACAGTGGGAGGCACCATGGTTTGCTTAATGCACTGCGTGGAGCCAGGACCCTAGGTGGGACAAGGCTTGGCTTTTGGTGGACAAACATCAAAGCTGGAGGAAACAGAAACGGAAAGGCTCCTCTGGGCTTGGCCGAAGAAAACTGGCAGCACCTTCCCAGTTACAGGGGAGGGATCAGGGCAGCATGGTCTGTCTGGACAGGGTCATTCTGTAGTCATGTGTTCAATTATTCACAAAGCAAGATGGTTTCTTGGGGTGATGCATATTTTACACGTAGGCTGGTGGTTTTGGAGACAAAATAAGTGCCAGTTAGGCTGCTGTGCTTTCTGATGCAGAAGTGTCTTATAATGACTTTGTGTGCAGAATACGGAACAGAGTTAAGCGAAGTGGTTGATAGACAAATGCACCTTTTAGTCTTTTGAACGGCTAAGGCCCTTTCTCTGATCTGGCAGGAATCAAGTTTCTGCTTTCATTTCTTCTATCATCTTGATCCCTCCCTTCATCTTTAGATGAGCAAACATGGAGGCAAGTGGGAATGGTGGAGGGCGGGTAGGAGATGTAGGGAAACAAACCGTTACATATCTTTGGGGAGGGTGGTTTTAACAGCAATCCCAATAACAGCAACAGGATTGCCAGTGGCTGATACTCACTAAGGACTTGCTATGTGCGAGCCCTAGACTTGATATGTTGATTCCCACTCTAAGTATGCAAGGAAGCTCTAATTAATCCTTTCTTATAACAAAATACTGGTGTCTCCCAGATGTTTAGTATTGGTCTACATTAATACTCTTGACACACATGGCTAAGAGTAGACTCTAGTGATGTACAGTATTATATCATAATACCTAGCAAGCAGAATTTTTGGCCTAGTTTTTTTTTTCCCTCACATTTCTCATCATAACACAGGAGCCAGATGACACCTTAGTCCCTTGCTGTGTTCTGTGACAGTAGGGAAGACCCAACTTACAAGACAGCTTGTTCTCTTTTTCCAGGTGAGGTCTCAATATAAAAGAAATGGCTGTGGATGAAATGAGCAGTGAAGGTGGAAATGTACCAGTTTCAAGGTGGGGCGTATGTTTTGCCATATGATGAATTTTAGATGTCCTTGGTGTGTGCAAGCAATATCCATTATTAGAACAAGATAGAGTGGGGCAGCAGCGTCCGAAGATGTGAGTGGTTTGGACCACTTGTTCCTGTGAATGCTCTTCCTGTGGGTTGAAATTCTGAGGCTATAAAGATAACATTTCAGAAATGACCCCTTTTGTGTGCATTATTTGTTGCCGGTTGGGAGAGGAAAGTTTCTTTTTCATGTGTTTAGTTGACACCTAATAATTATACATACTTATGGGATACAGAGTATTTCCATACATGCATGTGATGTGCAGTGATCAAATTGGTAATTAGCATATCCATCAGCTCAAATACTGATCGTTTCTTTGTGTTGGGAACATTCAAAATTCTTTCTTCTAGCATTGGACCACACACAATAAATGATTGTTAACCAATTCCAAATTCACCCTGTGGTGTGAAGAGGAAAGGTTCTTTGTCAGACGTTATTCCAGGGCACTCACTTGCTGGCATGCTCCCTGCCTCTCCTGCTCCGTTCCTCAGCTGCCAAGTGCTGGCAGGGTTGTGTGTGCAGTTGCAAGTTGTCACTTGGGTAATAAAGGAGAGGGAGCATAGCTTGGCAGACTCTCCAACATGGCCATGTGCATCCTGTGCAAATAGAATTATGATTAGTGACTAGCGTGGCAGCTGAATTGGACTAGAGAACTTGGCCGAGGTCAAGGTAGGCTCAAGGAGCAGCCTGGGTGAGGCTGTCTGAGGCGGGAGATGGCACAGATGAGGTGCAAAGCCCAAAGGAAGGCAGGCAGAGGCTGATTACTTGGGGGATCCTGTGTAAGGAGGGGATCTGCAGAGCAGGGGAGCTGGGAAGGGTGGTGGGGATCTGAACCCATGTCCTGTGCACGAGGCCTGACTCCTCCTGTGGCCAAGCTTGAGCTGCTCTACTGCCTTTGTAGGCTGCTTTGTGAGTTTTCTCCAGCAGCCATAAAAGTTACCTCCATCTTGGTGGCTTAAAACAGTTCTGAAGGCCAGAGTTGAAAGATAAGATTATTGGCAGGGTCGCACTCCCTCCTAATGCTCTAGGGGAGAACCCTCCCTTGCCTCTGACAGCTTCTGGTGAATGTCAGCGTGCCTCGACTTCCCTGGCCTGCATGGCTCCAGCTTGCCTCAGTGGCCACAGCCCCTCCTCCGCATGTGTCTTCTCTTCTGTCTCTCACAAGGGTACTCGTCATTAAATTCAGTGCCTACCTGGGTAACCCAGAATGATCTGATCTCTTCATTACTTCTGCAAAGACCCTTTTTTGAAAGAAGGTCACAGTCACAGGTTCCAGGGGTTAGGAAATGGACATAATGTTCGGGACCACCATTCAACCCATTACAGTTGCTGAGAGAATTGTGAGGGCCTAAATCTGTATTGTTTCTTAAAAAAATTTTTTTTTTTTTGTTTCAGTTGAGACCACACATATTCACTGGGCTTGAATTTGCATGTGGTGTTCAGTGGCAGGCAAGCCAGGTTTCAGGATGTCTGTTACCCAAAGCTGCAGTCTTAGGGCACCTCCAGATGACTCTTGGACTTCCCAATCCGAACTTCTGTTTCTCCTCCGCCACATGTGCCCTTCATCTTGTGGTAGGCAAATCAGACTCAATACCTACGGAGAAAGCAAAGGACATCAGTGACCGTCTCATTCACATGTGTTACAAATGATTGGCACAACACTAACCGACTCTGCCCTAGACTCATAACAGATATTAATTATCTACTGTGACACCAGTTCAGACAGAACTTATCTATGATGGTTAATTTTATGTCAACTTGATGGGGCCACAGGATGCCCGGATGTCTGATGAGTATTGGAATTGGTATGCCGGGGAAAGCAGACTTCCCAGTGTGGGTGGGCCTCATCCAGTTCATTGAGGGCATGGATAGAACAAGAGGGTGAAGGAAGGTTGGATTCACCCTCTCTCTGTCTAACTGCTTGAGCTGTACATCAGTCTACTGCCTGCTCCTAGTTCTCAAGCCTTTGGACTCAGGCTGAAATCTACACTATTGGCTCTCCAGCTCTCAGGCCATCAAAACACAGTGCTGCACTTCCTGGGTCTCCAGAGTGCAAATGGCAGATCCTGGGACTTCTCAGACTGTAATCAATACCTTATAAGAAATCACACACACACACACGTTCTATTGGTTCTGTTTCACTGGAGAACCCTGACTGATACAGAGCTTCAGACCTCTCAGCCAGGCCTCAGCAGCCACTGTCATGGGTTAGAGATAGCACCCAAAATGAAATCTCTGCCACTTCTGACCCAAAACGAGCCTCATTTCATAGATAAGGAAACTGGGGCCCAGGGAAGATGAGATAATTGAAAGGTGGTTGCCTATTCAAGTGGTATTTTATCATTGCATTTCCCATGTCAAAAAAAAAAAAAAAATCAGATGAACAGCCCATAGATTTTCAAATTATTATTTTTTTGACTTTAAAAACACCTAATATTGAACTGATTTTCTTCATGTTTTTTGATAGCTTCCCAAGCCACATAAACACCTGGAGCCTGTCACCCTACCAGTGTGACTTATGACATGCTGTACAGCCATTCTGTTTCATAGCTTTCAGGATCCATCTGTTAGCTCATATAAAACAAAGTTTATATTAAATGGGATTTTAGAAATATCGTCATGGCCCAAATTGAACATCATGTGATGGAAAACAAAACATATGTTGGCAATTTTGCTTTTGATTATTGGATTGGGTGATTTGAGTTCCAAAGGGGAAAGAAAGAACTCCTCTCCAGACCTTACTGTGATCCTGTCAGAGTATTGTTCCTAACACCTCCATTTATTTTTTTAACAACTATTGTAATTACTACTTTTTTACAATATAAAAGTAATATATCTATTTTAATAAATTCTTTTAATCATTTACATTTTTAAATTATGGGCAATAATAGTTGTATATATTCATGGGGTACTTGTGGTGTTTTAATACAGGCATACAGTGTGTAATGATCAAATCAGGGTAATTGAAATGTCCATCACTTCAAGTCTTTACCATTTCTTTGTGTTTCACTCTATTAGTCTGTTCTCATGCTGCTAATAAAGATGTACCCGATACTGGGTAATTTATAAAGGAAAGAGGTTTAATTGATTTACAATTCCACATGGCTGGCAAGGCCCCAACAGTCGTGGCGGAAGGTGAAGGAAGAACAAAGTCATGTCTTACATGGTGGCAGGCAAGAGAATGTGTGCAGGGGAACTGTCCTTTTATAAAACCATCAGAACTTGTGAGAATTATGCACTATCATGACAAGACTACAGGAAAAACCTGCCCTCGTGATTCAGTTATATCCCACCGGTCCCTCCCATGAGACATAGGGATTATGAGAACTGTAATTCAAGATGAGATTTGGGTGGGGACACAGCCAAACCATATTATCTACTTTTTTAGTTATTCTACAATATATAAGTTATTGTTAACTCTAGTTACTCTGTTGTGCTACTGAATACTACACCTTATTGATTCTAACGGTATTTTTGTACCCATTAATATCCTCCACCTTATCTTCTCTCTGCTATCTTTTTCAGCCTCTGGTAACCATCATTCTACTCTTTATGAATTCACCTTATGTTTTTCTCTTAGCTCCTGCCCATGAGTGAGGACATGTGACATTTGTCTTTCTGTGCTTAGCTTATTTCACTTAAGATCATGTTCTCCAGTTCCATCTAAGCTGTTGTAAATGACAGGATCTCATTCTTTTTTATATACCTCAATTTCTTGAGAGCAGTTCTCATCCAACTCTGAGTGGCTAAAATGCTGACTTCCTTAGAAATTTGAAATTGTCCCATTTAGACCTCTTGTTAAGAAAGAACAGTTCAAAAACATTATATTTGATACAGCTTTTCCAGTAACAGTTCTTTGGGCCGCTACAGTTTGGAGAAAAGTTGAGAAAATAGGAGTGAGCATTTCAAGTTTGAAAAAGAAAAAGAAGAAATAAGGCTAGAATTCATTGTTAGCTTGGTCTATTTACTCCTAAGGATAATGCCTATTGATGCAGTTGAGCAAAGGGACATTGATGGGGGGATTCTGAGGCAGAAGAGGACTCCAATTTACAATATTCAAAGGGCCATATACAATACTCTGTCAAAGCATCTACAATGACCCTGTGAGATAGCTGCTGCTGTTTCCATTTTACAGAGGAAAAAAAAAGTGTGAGAAAATTATTTGTCCAAGGTCAGCTAGTAAAGGGCAAGTGAAGTAATGGATTTACAGTCGTGTCTTTTAATTAAGTAAGGTATCCCAGTAGGAATTCATGGTAGCTCCTGATGCTTTTCTTATTCTTGAATAGGATATTTCCCTAGGGGAAAATGCTACAAGTAAATTAGGATCAAATGTGGAGGAAAGGAGCAGAGGAAAGCTATCATGGGGCGCAAGATACAAAAAGGCAAATAACAGAGGAGAGGTTGGAGAACTGTGTGATAAACTATTCCCTTCACCCTCACACTCCAGCTAATCTGATTTTGTAAGTCGTACAGGCATTGTTAATTACATTTTGACTATATTTTGAGGAATGATTAGAACTACCATACCAAGTGCTTGGCAATATCTAAGATTAAATGTCTCATTTTTAATTCTCACCATAACTTGGGGTGCAATGGGGTGTGTATTTTCATCTCCATTTTACAGATTAGGAAACATGCAAAATGCGACCTAATTTGCCTCCAGTCCTGGGGCCGAAGTGGGATTTATTGCCAAGGCTGTAGCTCTGCACAGGACATTTCTAGGTGATGTCCTGTGGTTTGAAACTCCTCTGAGTGGCTTCATTTTTTGTTTCTCTTTCATTGGAGAGGATAAAGTCACCACCAGGTCTTTTCTGTGTTCTTTGCTTCCTTTTTCTCTTCAGCATCCACAGTCATGACTTGCTCTGTTTTGGTCTGGATTTCAACTAGCTGAAACTTAATCTCTGATACTGTTAGCTGAGAGAGAGCATCAAATATTAATCCTCCAGGGAGTGTGTTTTTTAAAGGAGACACTGGAAGGGCAAAAGGTCTTTTAAGACTCAGATGATTCCGTGATAATGAAAATTGAAGCGGTGTGAGGGGGAGAGAGTTTTAAGAGGAGGGGTTGTCTCAGGGCTTCAGAACCGGTAGACACCATATGGCCCTGGAACCAGCAGCATTGGCATTACCTGGGGGTTCTGTAGAAATACAGAATCCGGGGCCATCCCCAGGCCTACCAGTGTGCATTTTAACAGGATCCCCAGGTAATTTGGGAGTACATTACAGTTTGAGAAGCACTGGTGTAATCCATGCTCTGACTTTTTTGTCTGAGCTCTGGCAGTGGGCTGAGCTCAGCACTGGAACTGAAAGGTAAACTTAAACCTCCTTTTTCAAGTGAGCAGGTAAGAGGTAACTTAAGGAAAGAGCAGCAGAAAATCAGTTCTGGGCATACAAGAGTTGGCAGTATGTTGGGAAACACAGTTGACTGATTCAAAACAATAAATGGGCCAGTCTCAATGTGTAGTTGCTGAGTTAGCAAAAATCTACCAGGTCAAATCAAATTCAAAGTGTTTTAGCTTTAGATAAGCAATATCTAGTCTCTCCCTCATGAGAGCCAATGTAAAATAGTCTAAAATTTTTATTAGCAGTGGGAGAATTGGCAAGATCCTCTTTCCTCTGGGAGCCAATGCAGTCATTTCTCTCACAGTTCATGAACTGACTATTTTCCCTGGAACTGAAATTGTTAGTTTCCTTGAGCAAAAAGCAATTTCATTTCTCTCTGATTTTTTTTCTAAGTGCAGCTTAGCCTGAAACTCGGCACTGCCCTGCTCTGCAGACATGTTCCAAACTGACCTCTTCTTCTTAACAATGTCATCTTGCAGATAAATCGGACCCTAAGAATCAGGGAAAAAAGGAGCCCCAGAACTTGGCTTTTTCTCAGCTTATCACACTGAGTTTTTGGCAAATGTTTTTCAAACCTTAAGTGTTTTAAATTTTCCCTAATACTGTTTACCTGGCAATCTCCTCCAGGAATGCTGAGTGAAGGTTAATGAGATGATGCAGCTGCTTTGATCTCCTGGGGAGAAAAAGAGGGTTATAAATATATCAAACCCAATGACTAGATACAGACGAGATTTTAAAAAGTAAAATGATACGTCATTAACACAATCACCTATCCGCATTAACCATGCTGTTTCCGTGCTGTTTTCTACTTATAGGCTTGAGCCTAAGAGTCATTCTTAGTCATTCTCTAAGAGTGTGAGAGAAAGACAGCGAGTGCTCTGTTTACCCACATCTGGTCATTTTCATTCTCCTGCTGCAGACCTTCTAATGTCTTCTCACTGTCTTCAGAATTGCATCTCAAAACTTCAATTTTTGTGTTTTGATCTTTCTTCACCTCTCCAAGTTCAGTTGATCACTTCCTGCCTCTCCTTTGCTGTAGGGACATTTTCTGTTTGCTAACACAGCAGCCTTTCTCTCCCTTCAGGGCACTTTCTTCTGGCATTTTCTGGCTATTCTATTTGCCCATAACACTCTTCTTCTCCCATCTTCCCAACATCTTCACCTGGCCATTTGGCAGGACCTGGCAGGTCTCATCTGAGGTGTTCCTTCTCTGGGCTCCTGAGCCTTTCAGAGGACCCAGATCCTGGGCTCTGAGAGCCCCACGTGATTTCATTGCCTCAGGTGCCTAGACCCTTTCTGGTGATTCTCTGCTTTTTCATCTTCCTCTCCTAGACCACTGGCCTCAACCTGGGCCACATGTTAGAGTCGCCTGGGTACATTTAAAAACTCCTGCTATCCAGATCACATCTCAGACTAAATAAATCAGTCTCTGGGTGTGGGATCCAGAGATCAGTATTTTTAAAAGCTGTCTAGGTGATTCCAGGGCACAGGTCCATTCAAGAACCACTGTACTCAGTGGTAAAATCTGGATGAGAGTGGGTACAGTCACGAGCATTACCATAGTGCTTGGTATAAATTGGCATGCAATAGAGCTTGTGGATTCAATGAGTTGAGTGAACGAGGCTTTGGCTTTGCAGTTCCTGAACTTTGGTTGCCAGCTCACTCTTGGAAGTATTAACCAAAAAGTGACTAATGCAGATAGAGGTTTATTTAGCCAAGGTTAAGGATGTGCCTGGAAAAAAATACAAGTTGCAGGAGCATCTGTGACCTGTGCTTTTTCCAAAGGGGGTTTTGGGAACGTCAGTAAAGGGGAAAGAATAAGCAGGAAAGAAAAAAAGGAAGAGGAGGCAGGTGTTTATATTTTTGGGAGGCTTTGATTAGGCTCAGCAGTATCTACAGTTTACATGTGAAAAGAGGGGCTGGAGTAAAAGTCAATTATACATTGTCTTCCACTCAGTAAATCGTACACTTCACACAACATAAAGTGAATGTCCAGTGCAGTGGCTCACACCTGTGATCCCAGCACTTGAGGCCCTTGAGGCCCAGGTGGGAGAATCACTGAAGCCCAGGAGTTTGAGAGCAGTCTGGGCAACAAGGCAAGACCCTGAGTGTTAAAAAATAAAAAAAAAAATCAGGCACAGTGGTATAGGCTGTAGTCTCAGCTGACTAGGCTGAGGCAGGAGGATCCCTTGAGCTCAGGAGATCAAGGCTGCGGTGAACTATGATTGTACCACTGCACTCCAGCCTGGGTGACAGAGCGAGACACTGTCTCAAAAAAACAAAAACAAAAACTAAAGCAAACATGTGAAAAGAGGGAATAGAGGGAAAAACCCAGTTATACATTCATCTCAGGGTAGACAGAGGGATGATTTCTGGTCTTGTCCTTGTCCTGTGGAATTAAACCGGCAATTGACATTATCAGAAAGTAATTCAACAGAATTTGGTCTTAGGGTTAGTTTATGGGGCGATAGATATACTAAAGCAGGGGTGCCCAACCTCAAGTCCGTGGATGGGTACCATTCGATGGCATGTTAGGAACCGGGCCACACAGCGAGAGGTGCACGGTGGGCCAGGGAGCATTACCGCCTCAGCTTCACCTCCTGGTGGATCGGTGGTGGCATTAGATTCTCACAGGAGCACGGACCCTGTTGTGAACTGCACATGTGAGGGACCTAGGTTATGCACTCCTTATGAGAATCTAACTAATGATTGATGATCTGAGGCGCAACCGTTTCATCCCAAAACCATGCCTCTCCCTTGCCCCAATCCGTGGAAAAATTGTCTTCCAGGAAACCGGTCCCTGGTGCCAAAAAGGTTGGGGACTGCTGTCCTAAAAGATTTAGGGACTCACAGGGAATTTCCTTGTGAGCAATTTCTGCAGGAGGCCATCGGGGAGATATGTGGCCTTCTTTTGTCCAAGCTTAACTTTCCCTTTGGTGTAGTGAGTCTGGGATCACGGGATGGTATTTTCTTTCACAGAGGATCAGGCCTTTGGGTACCTGAGGCCCTGACATTTCTCTTCAGCAGAAATCAATTCATTTGATTTTCAGAAAATGTGACCAAGTTACCCGGGTACTTTTATCACCCTTCCTGCTCCCCAGCTCCCCACCGTCAGCCCATTCTTTTCATAGGCAGAAAGCCTATTTAGAAAGCTAAATTAAGATTAGATAAGAAAAGGAAGGAAGTTGAACATTGTTTTTATTTGGCTCTGAGGCCCAGAAAACCTCAGCTTTCTGCTATAAACATTCCTGAAACTGCATATTCTTGACATTTGAGATGATTTATCTGAAAGGGCTTTGAAAACCATAAAGCAGCATTACTGTTATTACTGCGTTTCACTTATTCCCATAACAAGGCTTCATAGGGTCTTTATGATTGCCATAGGTAATGGGAATTTAAGGGGCAAAAGGGCAGCCACTGACCCCAGAGTACAGAGTGGGGTGGAGTGTCCTGTGTACAACTCATTGGCATGCAAGGTAGGAAGTCCAGGAACTGGGAACTCAGGGAAAGGAGTGCTACCCTGTGCCTCTTTCCTTTGGATTCTGAATGCCTTAAGGGCAGAGGCCATCCTATTTATACACATTTCCTCAAGGTCTCATGTAATACCTGGCACATAGTAATTATTTGAATGATGATGATAAATTATGGGCCATTTGTTTGTTAGGATTCTTTGAGTTCCAGGTGATAAAAAACCAACTTGAGTCCATCTAAACATGAAAAGATTTATTGGAAAGATTGGGGTGGTTTAGAAAGTCAACACCACCATCAGAACAGAAAAACAAAACCTAAAAACAGAACCTGGGGAAGGCTGTGCCCAGGGCTCTTCTGAGAACTTCTCATGCTGAAACCCCAGGCACCCGCAGGGTCACTCACCTCCCTTGCTGCTGTTTGTGTTATGTTCATTCTCTCCTCCTGCTGGTAAGCTGCGGATATGCAGTGGGCACAGGTGAGAGATAGGAGTTTGGCGGCACTGGTTTCCTAAGACACAGGATACAAGACTCCTCCAATAAAACAGGATGCTGTAGAGAAGCTGAGCAAAACCCACCAAAACCAAAAAGGCAACAGAAGTGGCCTCTGGTTACCCTTGCTGCTCCTAATGTGCTAATGATAACACACTAGCATGCCAAAAGACACTCCCACCAGTGCCAGGAGGGTTTACAAATGCCATGGCAACCTGGCGGCCCACTCCCCACCCCTAAGAAATCACCTGGAAAACTCGTGAATAATGCACACTTCGTTTAGCATATGATCAAGAAATAAATCACAAAAATAGCCAACCAGCAGCCCTCAAGGCTGCCCTGCCTATGGAGTAGCCACGTTTTTATGGCATTACTTTCTTAATAAATGTGTATTCACTTTACTCTGTTGGCTTGCTCTTGAATTCTTTCCTGCACTTAGCTAAGGACCCACTTGGCTTCCTGGGCTGACCCTAATTTTGGGGTTTGCCCTGTGACGCAGGGGAAGCTGGTGGTTCTGAACTCTGAAGTTTTCAAATCTTAGGAGAGGGAAGGGCTGTCTCTTCTGAGCTTATTATACCACTCCAGGGGAAGGACTGTTGCCCAGGAGAAAGAGGTCACCAGTCACTGAGATAGACTACAGGGGTGTACGTGTGAGAGCACGGTGTAGGGGAAGAAGCTCCTCAAAGAAAGCAGATTTTCTTAGAACAGCACCTGCTGGCATGTAGTGGTTACAGGAGACCCCCTGACTCCAAGGAAGCAGATAGGATTAACAGGGTGTGACTCTTAGTTGCAGAATTTTTGGAAAAGTACAATAAGATCTAAATGTCCCTCTGCAGATAGACTAAATTATAAAAGTGAAGGAGAACTTTTGCAAATCCTAGGCTAAAAGCCCTTTGTTTATAAATCATGCTCACTTGCTTTTATGTTGCTACCAAAATTAGGATGGCATTTGTTCCAGAGTGTCCCAAATCTGATAAGACAAGATTATGACTATGACTTTTGGTCTGAATGAAATAATAAGAGTGCAGAGACGGGTGCCCTGCCCTGGTAGGAGTGAGTTGTTCTGGTGACTCACGGAGTTTTGGTGGCTCTGATCAGTGCTCTAGCAGCTCTGGAGTTGGATGGCTCTGTAGCTGAAGAAGCCTCAATCCAAGATTGCAGGTACTATTTAACTATTTCCTGGTACTTTCTTTAACAGAGCATAGGAGAGATAACCTTGAATAAGTCTCTATTTCTTATTATAGTTCTGAAGTTTCCATTTTATTGCAAACAAAAGACTCCAAGGTTGTCTTGCTCAGAACCAGGAGGACTCTAGTTGGTCTTAGACCAGTGATGTTTCCACGGTTCTTTCTGATGATCCAAAGTTCTAGAAATTGTTATGCACGTGTCTAATTGAAGAGACAGCCTGAACAGGGTAAGTGTGAGCAACAAGGCTGTTTATTCACTTGGGTGCAAGTGGGCTGAGTTCGAGAAAGGAGTCAGTGAAGGGTGGTGGGAGTGAAACTGGTTTTACAGGTTTGGGGTAGGTAGTGGAAAGTTACGGTTGGGGCAGTTTTTTCGGGCAGGGGAAGAATGTCACAAGGTGCATAGTCACAAGGTAGGGGGAGGTCACAAGGTCTATTGATGAATTAGGGTAGGGCAGGAACATATCACAATGGTGGAATGTTGCAAGGTCGGTTAATCAGTTAAGGCAGGACTTAGCTGTTTCTTCTTCTTTAGTGGTTCTCTTGTTGCTCCAGACTTTGTGACTCCAGGAAGCCTGTACCTGTGGGTCACAAGGGTCACAATGGCTCGACCGTGGTGTAGCTTGTTCACAGGACCTTACAGAAACAAGGCAGAGAGAGCACTGGCTTCCCCCAAAGTGAAGAATTGGAACTCGCCTCTCCGATAAGAAACTTCTGGGAGAGTTGGGACTGTGGAGGAAGTGACAGGGAAAGCTTCTTTTCCTGAAGGTTTTCACACTGGCTATGTAAATTTGGGGTGGCAAAGTGGTTTGAGTGACAGAGGTCATTGAGTCCTGTTCACAGGAGGCCAAACACTGGGGACAATGCATGGAAAGCAGAGATTCCAGGAACAGAGTAGATCCAGAACAGGTCCTGGACCCTGAAGTGGGAATGAGCAAAGAAAGGCCCCAAAGGGGATTTGAGATCTGGGTCCAAAGACACTGAATAGAAGCCAAGGAGGCTGAATAGAGCTGTCAGCGGGAGGGCTGAGTCAAGAATACAAATGATAGTTGGGTAGATAACCAGGTTGGGAAAATGAGCTGGGGGTAGACTTCTTTACATTTTCTCAATTGTGGTCTCCTAGGCTAGTGACCCCGGAAAACACAAAGACAGTAGCATTCATATAGCTCTTTTTAAATAGGACTGCTTTCCTGAGGCAGGCTTTGCAGCCAAAGTTCCCATGCAAATTTCCACTGAGTGTTGCCACATTTTAAATAGGGTTCTTTGGTGAAGCCACAGTTTCAGAGTAGCAAGAATTTTAAAAATTACTGTTTAAAACAAACACTTCATCAATGCTGCTTCCCTCTGCTACCATAATTGCTCTTAGGGCCAAATTGTTTTCTGCGTAACCAAATGAATTAATAGATATGTGGCTCTGTTGGGGGCAGCTCCCCTCCTACTGTACAAGCAGCCACACCATTTGGAAGCAGAGGGCAAAATATAGAGAAAACCGAATGGCTCTGCATAAGAAATCAAGCTGAATTCAGAGTGTTTGTGGTCAGAGGAGTGAGGGGGTGAAGGACGAAAGGGGACCAGATGAGCAACATGACAGAGCTGGGTCCTGAGAAGAGATGACCCATAAAAATATCTGAATCTGCCCCTCCTGGTGGTAGGACTGGTCAGGGGACCTCTAAAACGGGCAAGGCTGCCCTTCAGTTTTCTCACTTCATTAGAAATAATACCACAAGTATAAGATAGTAAAGTATATCTATCATTTTAAACTGTAAAGGCAAACTGAGTTAAATTTTGATTTCAAAATATTCCATTTTGTCTGTCTGATGATGTTCTGTACTAGAAGCCCTGCCCCAAGTCCTTGCCTCCAAATCCGTAGTAAAGGTGGGGTTTGTGAGAATCAAGGAAGAAGGGACCATACTCTATCTTTGGGTCAATGTGGAGTGGAGAGAAGGGAACACCAGCAAGTATGAGGAGAAAAATGTGGCAGACTCAGCAGGAGGATGAAAGTGATGCAGTGGATTCTACATAAGCAGTGCCTGGGAGAAATAGGAGTGGGCCCTATATTTTCCATCATGTCTGGGAAAGAAGCTTGTATTAGTCTGTTTTCTGCTGATAAACATACCCGAGACTGGGCAATTTACAAAAGAAAGAGGCTTAATGGGACTTACAGTTCCACGTGGATGGGGAAGCCTCACAATCATGGCAGAGGGCAAGGAGGAGCAGGTCACATCTTACGTGGATGGCAGCCATCAAAGAGCAAACTTGTGCAGAGAAACTCCCGTTTTTAAAACCATGAGATCTCGTGAGACCCATTCACTATCAGGAGAACAGCATGGGAAAGACCTGTCCCCGTGATTCAGTCATCTCTTACCAAGTCCCTCCCACAACACGTGGGAATTATGGAAGCTGCAGGATGAGATTTAGGTGGGGACACAGAGCCAAACCATATCAAAGCGGGAGCCACTTTTTTGTCTTACTTTATTTTTAAAACAATTCCAGCCTCTCTAATAAATGAAAAGTTTGAACATCCTGAAATGTTAAAAGAAGAGCCTTCTGACATCCTGTATACCCACAACAGAGAGTCAAGAATTAACATTTGCCATATTTACTTTATTTTTCTTTATATGTGTTTTAACTTTTTATTTGTATATTTACTTATTTATTGAGGCATTTACATATGAGTTGCGGAATATCATGACACTTGAGTACTATAGACTTAAGTATATATAAGCCACCATCATTTAAATATTAATAAGGGTCAGCTCTAAAGCCTGGGGGACTCAAAGATCTCCAGATAACTGGCACCAGAGTTACAAAGGTGCACAGAGAAAGGCTCCCACTCCTCCTCCTGGGAAGTCTGGACCCCCGTGCAAGTGAAGCCCTGTACGCATCCCCACTCCCTCAGGTTGGCTTTGGTCAAAACCATTCAATAAGTCTCTGGAAAGTTCCAAATTTTCCCATTTCTTCCTATCTTTTTCTGAACCCTTCAAACTGTTCCAATTTTTGCCCATTACCCAGTTCCAAAGTTGCTTCCACATTTTCAGTTGTCTTTATAGCAGTGCCCTCTTGGTACTCTGGGTACCAATTCTGGTACCAGTTTTCTGTATCAGTTCATCCTCACATTGCTATAAAGAATTATCTGAGACTGGGTAATTTATGAAGAAGGAGGTTTAATTGACTCACAGTTCCATAGGCTTAACAGGTAGCATGACTGGAAGGCCTCAGGAAACTTTCAATCATGGCAGAAGGCAAAGGGGAAGCAAGGATCTTCTTCACATGACAGCAGGAGAGAGCGAGCAAGCAAGGGAGGGGGACATGTCACACACTTTTAAACCATCAGATCTTGTGAGAACTCACTATCATGAGAACAGCATGGGGGAAATCCACCCCCAAGATCCAATCACCTCCCACCAGGTCCCTCCCCCAACATTGAGAATTACAATTCAACATGAGATTTGGGTGGAGACACAGAGCCATATTATATCAGCCCACCTTGTCACAGCATCATCTTGTCTTCTCTTTCTCACTCTCTTTTCTTCTCCCCAGGACATTTCCCCCTTGTCTCTTTTCTTGAGTCTGTTTCCTACTCTTGTCTGTCTGCGAAGTATCTCCTTGTTGCTGTCATCCCAGACTGGGTCTCTTTCTGAGTACCTGGAGTCGTAGAGGACTGATGTGTTTTAGGGGAGGACAGAGTGGAGGAAGTGTGTCAGGGGAGCAGAGGGAGTGGTATTTTGGGGAAAATGGTTTTGGATGCCCTTTAGCCCAGAGTAGCCCTGGAAATGGCTTGAGTGAAGGCTGTCTTGGACCACCTCTGGTGGTCGGTTTGTCTGTCCATCAGCCTGCTCTGCCAGGCTCTGTATGTCTGTCTGGACATAATTCTGTCTCTGTTTATGCCTC